AGTTTTTAATTCGAAAAATGTGACGAATTCGCGATGGGGGTGTGGTTCAGTTCCGATATATTGCTTCTTCAGATTTGGCGACGTTAAAAATTATTTTTTGGATAAAAATAATCTCTTCTCTTGTTTGGACGAAATACGGGCCAAACTCAAATTATGACAAAGGTATGATGGAATTACAGTTCGGCCGGAAACTTTTGCGAGCTATTGTATGTATATGGGGGCACCAAAATCCTTAAGTGCTTAGAACCTCTAAAGGTCTTAATCCGACTCTGTCAACATATCAACCCTTTGAAACGCTACAAATACTCCCCGTGCTTTGTGACGCCTTACCGATCCTCTCGTTAGGCGATCCCAGGAAGCTAAAGCTCGACATCCACGTGTACCATACATCGTCCGTGCGGGCGCGCACAAAAAGATGTTCTTTTCCAATAACACACGTATAGGTATCTAAACGTCAACCTGTCACCGGGGCAACAACCGTCCCGCGACGCCTGAAATATACGATTTCCTGTGCGCCGCAAGCGATCGAATAAAGAAAAACGAGAGAAATGCGCGGTTTGCAGGGGGAATAGACGACGAGTCCTTCGAAGAATCGCAGCAGTCTACGGAAGCGAGAAGATCGGGGCGCGATCGTGGACATCGATTCATCAACAGTCTAGAGACGTTCGATTCCGATTCGATGCTTCGGAAGGTCGATTTTCTTAGATAACACGTCACTATCATGTATAACGTTTGTTTCGTTACGAGAAGTCGGTTCTATAACCGCTTTGGAATTTATACACAACCTAAAAAATAACGGTTATACAGGGTATCCAAAAAGATGATATAATCCGTAACATGCATATTCCTCATGCAGATACAAGTCGAAAAGTCCTTTACCGTTTTGTAATCTGTAGCTCCATTTCTGAAATATTAGCGGTTGAACGAACTCCAATCAGCTGAGCGGTGGGCGCAGACACAGTCAAGAAGCAGAGGCTAGGAAGTCAGCTGGGCCGCGCCTACGTGTGACCCACCGCTCAGCTGATTGGAGTTCGTTCAACTGTTAATATTTCGGAAACGGAGCTTCAAATTACAAAACGGTAAAGGACTTTTCGATTTGTATTTGCAAGACGAATATACGTGTTGTGGATCGTCCTATCTTTTTGGGACACCATGTAGAACTAATATGGGAGCTGATATAGGAACCGTAACTGAAACTGATATTAACCTGAGATATAGATTCTTCATAAGTTATTCAGAATAAAGCGTCTGGATAACTCTTTCGACACCCTACATCGATATCATAACAGTTTCCAATTCCAAATCAGTTCCGAGAACACGGGTGGAACGGCGTCTACATAAAGAGCTGGAGGGAAAGACCGATTCCGGATGTGGTTCCACCGTCGTGGGGTGAAGAAATCCGTCGATTTTCTCGGAAGCCATAGCGCCCGCGCCATCGAACCTCCGCCGAAGAAATGGAGGATGGTGGCGGAGAAAATTGCGCATAGGAACGCAAGAGGATACGAGACCCTCGTGCGCACGTTTCGATATTTTCAGACGGTGTAACGAGCGGGAACGAACGTTTATGCCGGGACCGAGAAATCTCTGGTCTGAAACGGCGGAACCGCCGTTCCTCGCAGTGGTGTGCTGGCCTCCTGGAACCGAAGACGTCGTAAAGGATCTGCGGCCGAAGGACAATCGGCAAAAACGGCGAAACCACGGTCGGACTATCCGTGTCTTTATTTGGAACGGAATGTTTTTCGAACGGGGTGGCTCTGCCCTGTAGAATACACAGGTGACTCGAATATGCTCGTGTTTTCGCGCCTTTTTTTTCGATAGGGGTTGTTGCTGCCGCATTGTGGAGAATTTTCTTTAAATTGTGGACAGAAGTCAACGAAACAGTTTCTGCCTTTGAAAAATCTGTATAGAGGTAACCTTCGTGTAACGTCGTACAGTGATTCCTCGATGAATGCGACACGAGCAACGGCGTTATTCCCACCACTGGGGGGAGGGGGGGGGGCTGTGGAATTAATCAAAACAGAGTAAACAGAACCTTTCCACGTTGCCACGAATGTTCCGAAGCGGCCCGGAGCACGTCGCACTCATCGAGATATTATTGTACGTATACAACGGGAGCTACAAATTGTTCGACATAAATGTCCCAACTTTTGGGGTGAATCGAATATGTCTGACATTCTCGTTTCTTGTCTGCAAAATAATGATTTTCAAGTTATTTTTAGTTTTTATCATTAATGTTCAAGTTAAATGTGTACTAATTACGAATTTATAACAAAAAATTAGTTTTCTAAACTTTGACTATTATTTTTTTACTATCAAACAGAAAATGAATCCCATTCGCCTCGGTCTACCCTACTGGACGGACTGTTCGCCGCCCGCCTCTCTTGGGTTTTACGGTCCCCGCGTTGTCTGGTCGCAGTAGTAAAAGGAAATGCACCGTTGCAGTAACGCTCTGCGGCCGGTTACGCATGGACCATCCCGTGCAATGATCCCCACGCCGCATATAAAACGTAATTTTGGTTAAACGTTCTCCAGCAACGCCGGATCCTCTGGGTCCGTTCCCACCGTTTTCATGGGAATGCTTGATTACAACGAACAATGTTTTCTTACACTTTAACATCTTTGATCCGATTTATTTCCCCGTTTAGTACAATTTTTCATTGCTTCAAACGGGAAACAGTAAACAAAATTTCATTCAATTATTTTTTGACATAAACGGAAGACTCAGATTGCCCCCCTGAAAGTGGGGCCCAGAGTTATAGTCCACTATACAGTGATTCTTCGATGAATGTGACATGAGCAACGGCGTAATCCCCACCACTTAGGGGATCCCCCTTTGGAATCAATCAAAACAGAATAAACAGAAGCTACACAGAGGCTCGGTTGCGTATAAAAAGAAAAGTTATTTCTTCATTCGAAGCGGACCCGAGTACGTCGTACATCGAGATATTACTCTATAACTATAGCCCCCTCCCCGCCTTAATCTGGCACTGGATACTTGTAGTATACATTAAATGAACGTTTGCATAATTCTTTCTGCAAGAAAAAAATGAAATAGCAAAAGGACAGTGTCAGAGATGAGCAGCTTTGAGATGAGAATCGGTCATCGGAGCGACTCGACCACCGTCGCGGCTGAGTTTCTTGTGCGTGCCACCACCTGTGTATATGTCTGTGTGTGTGCACGCCTGGTTTCTCGGGAGAACCACGGCGAGAATCCTTGCGCAAAATTATAGTTAGATACCCGAGAGAAAGAGCTGCTCGTGAATTCAAGCGGATGCCTAAGAAATTGCGTTTCTTTGAACAGTAAGGGGGGGGGGGGTCTGACTTATTAACGGCGGCGGCCGCGTGGAAACGCAAGGACGAGAAAGACTTCCTCAAGGCCTTCGACTCCCGTGGAATGCAAAATCACGAGTGGTAACGTGTCACACACGTGTGAGACACAACCGACATCCACACCATGTGGGACCATTCTTGCGCGCGATTTGACTACAGTGATTACTCGATGAATGCGACAACAACAGCGTTATTCCCACCACTGGGAGGGTCCCAGTTTTTGTATTTCCTTTACCATATAAGTATATTATACGATTTTAAATAATTCCATGTCCAACACATGACTATAACTGGTAAGATCGCAGTTTATTATGGCCAATATTAAACAAAAAGTCGTTGCTTGATCTTGGTTGATAGACAGCATGTTTAATTAAGGAGAAAAAAAAAATACATATAAGTATGTCTTGTATTCTTATCTATCGCAGTTCCAGAATTATCTCAGAAGTAATAAAAATCAATATAAATATGAATTGAGGGCATATTCAGAAAATACTGACACTGACAAATGCCCGTGATAATCTAACAATAAATCACCAAGTTATGTTTAATTTTGGTTTCCCTGACTACGCCCATGCATACAACTAGTCCTAGTCACCAAAACAGAATATGTTTCATCTCGAATTCCTTGCGTCTAACTTCTTGCCTAACAAAACAGAATTTGTTAAACGGCCATACTGCGTATTATTAACTAGGAATCCAACAATATTATTTACATACCAGAATAATCCATATGTTTGAATAATAACATCTTAAAAGGTAACCCACCTTCTGGCGTTGGTTTCCCGTTCTTTCCAATTTAATTTGCTGCTCGTCCGTACAGGTGCATCGATTACGCGAGGGCCCCGTCACGACGCGCGATAATTAAATCCGGCCAACGAAAGATCGCTAATTCGATTCACGATTCTCGATCCATATAAAATTCTAATTACCCGTGTCCCCCCCCCCTCTCTCTCTCTCTCTCTGCCCCTAATCCTCATCTCTCTCTTCCCTGTTCCAATCGAGTGATTTCCTACGGCGAACGCGGTCGAGGAGAGGTTTTACGGTCGCGAGGATACCATTTCAAGCGAGCAGCAGCAGCCGCCGTTCCTTCCAACGGCCACTTAATTACTCTGAAAACGGGACCGTAGGGAGGTCGTGATCACGTGTAACTGAACAAAGGCGAGCATTGTTTTCCGGGCTGGGACTGGAATTGAAGCGTTCCGAGTGGAACCTGGGGCCCTAAACGTGTGTTCCTGTCTTACCACGATTAGGATTTTGGATTAGAGCAAGCAGTGTTGTCCAGTGCCGGATTAAGGGGGAGGGGGGCTAAGGGGCTGCAGCTCCGTAATCATTTATTATGCAAATGTTTGAAAAAAATGTAATCTCATACTAGCGGGGCACTATTGAACAGTTTGAATAAAAAATCAGGATATTTTTCTGTGTCACCTGAGTGTTAACATTGATTAATTTTCATATGGCCAATTTTAAAGTGACCATATTTTTTTAAATTTGTCCACAAAGAAGACAAATAGGACCGTATCCTGATGTTTTTTCAAAATTTTCAATAGTTCCCTGATATGTTGAAGTGGATTTCATTAAAGCAATTGCAAAATAAATATTTAAAAAATACTGTAAGTCACAAGTAACAGTTTACGCCATCACTAGTGAATGGCATTTAAGGTGACCGTTACCTTATACGAGATTCGGTCCTCTTCGTCGGCCGACGGGACGACGGGATCTCCTCCGTCTGGTGTCGGTACGCCTTCCGTTTCCGCCGGCTGGTAGTTGACCTCGCTGCCCCAGGAGTGTCGCCTCTTCAGGTCCCCTGAAACAATCGGGAGAATCCATGAAATTTGAAAAACTCAATGGGGCTCCAAAACGCAAAAACTAATGATCATCCTGAGCTATTAAGTTTTACGTATAAATTTCAAAATAATTAATAATTATTTAGTAACTTTTCGGAATAAATTCTTCTAATAAATTTATTCTACGGTTATTAAACTGATCGGGTGTTAGTTTATTTTATTCTATTCTACTGTAGTGTATTTTAGGTGTAGTATACTTTATTTATTCTATTGTATTCTATTTCATTCTACTATTAACGAACATTAATTAAGAAAGTAATAGAACTGGGCGTCCACCACCTTTCACAATTATTAGCTTTCATATCGATTACTCGCTCCATTCGATATAAGTACTTTTTCTCGATACCGATTATATATCGCAACTGGAAGTGTCGATACTAAAAATACTCGGTATCGAAACGGAAAGTTTCGATTATTTACTTGTATTTATTTGGTTCGGTTCATCCCTACCTGTTCGTCAAAACACGTCACGCGGAAGGTGGGAACGCAAAAGGGGCAACGGGCGCGTGGCGCGTGCCATCGGACCGTCGGTAATTAATACGAACCGACTGAATCGGTCCCCCGTTTAATTAGAATTGTCGCTATCGTTCATCTCGTACGACGACGTCGGCGGCGGCTGTTTAATGTCAACTTGCCAATCGAACCGTGGCTGACAAAACTGGCCGCTACTACTTTTTGCCCCCCTTCCTCCGATCATGGTGAACTCGGCGTATAAATCCCCCGTGTTCCTTTCGTGGTACAAGACGTGTCTCCGGTTACGGATACTCGGATTTCCCGTCTAGCAGCGGGGATCACCGGCTTTGTCGGACGGTTATTAACTTTCCGATGTCGTACAATGACCAGAATCACAATTCCAAAAAACATTATTTTTATTTTCCAAAAAAAAAAAAAAAAGAAGAAAACACCAACTAGTCATTAAACATGGAAGATTTGCATCCCCATGCGTAATTGTTCTCCTTAGATTTTTCCGTAACATCAATCTCAGTTAAAAATAGAGGAAAAGATTCCGTAAAAATGTATACTTTCATGAAGATGCTGAAGACACTTTTAGTGGACGATGACGTACGTAATCGAAGGGGATCTCCAAAAATTGATAAAAATTTGTGGATTTTTTCTACTTCTATTTGAATAGAATTCCAATTGCTATACTGAAATAATGCTTCCTTTCGAACGGGCAGACATTTGTCTAATCTCATTAAGGGGTTTTGCCACTGTGAAACCCTAAGAAATTGTAATTTTTGGGTAACTTTCTTCCACTGAACGAAACGTTCAACGTAAACGACGTGTTATCTATTTCTTAATACACTTATTGAGAGTATACACAAAATTTTGTTGAAACTTCAAATAATTTTTTTCTTTAATTTATATATCTCACTGAAGTGAACGCCCTGAAAAAATTATTTAGAACTGGCGTAGGTACGACTAGAAAAAACTTTCATATATTCACAGATATGAAAAAATACATGATATTACCATTTTATGTCGTCTTTTAAAATATATGGCAACAGTTAGAACGAAACGGTTAAGCTTTCGATATTAGTACCTGAAATTGCGAATTTGCATAAATTTCCGCAGTCTATCGATAATAAATGATAAATATACAAAAGTCCTCAAACTTCTGCGATCAGAGCTTGCGTGTGTACACCCCCTGCTCCTTTAAGGTCGACGCACAACGGTTCGAACGAGGATAATGATTGAAGATAACGCGGCGAGTTAAACACTGTATTCGAGAGACGTGACTTATGGGATTCGATCGGGGGTATATAGGAGGCGCGCGTATTCTACCTACAAATTTACTCGTTTACTCGCTTCGTGGAATGCTACGGGGTCCCACGGGAAGAACGAGAACGGAGAAGGGAGGGAGGCGGGCGAGTGCAGTACACAGCATCGCGAGGGAATCACGAAGAGGAAAATTTATCGGTTCGACCCGGTCGAAGTGTGAATTACGTCGATTCTCGCGTGACCCGCAATAAAATATATTCCCGAAAGTTTCATCGCATCGTACGCCCGCGGTGTATACCTGCTTATTTCCATCGGCCGTATATCTCACGGGGATCGCTCGCGCTGGCGGGAGATTTGAACGCGTGGTTTTCCCAGTTTATTAGCATTAGAACTACCAGCATTGAATGTATCCTAAGTTAAATTATGTAATACAATAATATACAGAATATATAAGAGAATCTAGATCACAATTAATCATAATACAGACTCGTCTTGATTATTGTCTAGCTTGTTCTACACGATTATTGTCCAGGCGTTATCCCCACCACTGGGGAAAAAACGAATTTACGAGGGTCTGAAGCATTTCTCCCTATACGATTATTGTCGTACAATCAGTTATCTCCTAGCCTCTCGTACAATCTACTTAAATCTTCACGAAAATAAAAATTCGCCCCGACAATTCAAGACAACTAATAAGACAGACCCCGGACCAATTAACCGGACGTAAGTCACGATCAATCATCGACGTTTCATAGAAAGTCTAAATCACGTAGTAACCGAATAAAAACCATGGTCACAGAGCAAGAACACCAAACACGAAGACGGCTTGGCTCTCTCGTATTTTCCCCCCATGTCTAATCGACGATGATTGATATTTCCGGAATTTGCGTAGGTTACTACCATCGGGCAAAAGAATTCCAATAGCAAAAGAAGAGCGAAATACCAAGCCGATACGTGCGCGCGCACGGATGATAAATATCCGTTCGGATGGAAAATCATTTCTTGCCAATCTCCACCGACGTAGAAAAGAACCCATCCTCTCATCAGGCCGTCCCGATGGGAAAATCGTTAATGCAACCTGTACGCTCATCGACCCCAATGTATACGTATCTGTCTGTGGAACGTTTCTTCGTAAGTATCTGACGTTCGACGTCTCAATCGACATGCATCGAATAATAGAAATACACGGTCACCTGTTCCAGTTCTTTCGTTCGACGACGAACTGATCCACGGCAAACGGTGGCTGCGATCTTCCGGAAACTCATTAACATTTAACCAGCGTAATCAGCGCGCACGATTAACGAGACTGGTGTGTCGGCCCGGTCACGATAAGAGTCGTCCGAGTAGTTATCGAGGGGGGCAGTGGCTTATCGTCGACGATCTCTCGCGGCACTTGACGCGTCGTTAACAGTCTTCTGGGTGTGTGTATCCGTTGAAAGGAAAGGGGATGGGATGACCGTCGTCACGATCCAACGACGATGATCCATGCCACGCGGTTCCGTGTCATCGTTTCTTGCCTCGGTGCATATCCGGCCTTCATTTACATTTTCCACATACACACGTTTATTTACGGTTATCGAGGCGTAACACCGGCCTGGTTGGAACTAGTTATCGATGATACTGTTTTTTTTTTTTTTTGGTCTTGATTAAAAACCGCTAGTCGGTTCAGTTTGTGTCCCATCCAGATCCATGTATGTATGCATGTATATATGTGTGTTTGCACGTGCTTAAACAGCTGTGTGCTATCCACTACACACATACAATTTCACGTACTATACACGCATACACCACAATTATTGCACACATCACATAACAGGATTTTTGTTAGGCTTCCACCAAACGGATGGATATCCACTTGGTTATTGTTCGTTGAACTGTGATACGGCGGAATCGATCACCTACAGAGACGTTCCTTGAGGATCAACGGTGGCGTTGGTCACGTGTGTCACTGACACGCACGATCACGGATATAGAAGGTGTACCATTTAACGTGAGCACCTTATATATCTCATTTAGATTTTAGAGAAATTATTTGAGGGACACACTACTATAGGTCATTGGATTGGTTTTGATCTCGACTATTACGCCACGATGATAGAAATATGACCTCGAGACAAATTTTTCCTTGTCACAGTAATTCTTCCTAACCAAATAACACTTTCCCCTGAGATTTTTTTTATCTTCAAATGCAAATGAGATATTAAAAGTGCTCATGTTACTCTAAATATAAATTTACTCGTAATCTACTTGTGTAAAAAAATGTTTCAAACGAAAGTTGTTTGATATCGAGCGTGGTAAACAATGTAGTAACTAGTTTTTCGATGTTTCGCGTTTTTATTCAGATACGAAGATACCCTTAAGCTTTTGTACTATGATTCCTAATATTTGACGTTACGAGTCGAAATAATATTGAATGGTGAGTAAAAAACAACTGAGATACATGGGTTCAAGAACCAACAATTACCGAGATATTCTTTAATTAATCCTCAATGTAAATAATGCTTGAACTCCTGTATCAAGTACTGTCTACACTTGTCATGCACAGAAGTTCGATCACCCTTCACTGACCAATATCTCGGTAACCATTACCTTTCGACCCCATACACCTCAATAGTTTTTTACTCAGCACTCAATATCCCTTCGAATCGCATGGTCAAATATCACCCATCATGGCACAAAAACTCAAGGTGACCTTCATATCTCGATAAAAAACCAAAACACCAAAAACCTAATTACCACATTGTATGCCAGGCACGATATCAAACAACTTTCATAGGAAACATTTTTTTACAAACCAAGTAGTTTACGACTAAATTTCGTTGGTGCAGTCAACTGACTCACCCTGTATATATTCTTGGCGAGGATACGTCGAGGATTTCCTGGTTTCGCACGAGGTACACACACGGGGACACATACGTCCGTACGTTCTCGATTAAGTGGATGGATCGAACGGAACACTTTTTGCTAAGAATTACACGAGTTTTATTGGGTCTCGAAAGATCCGTTTTTCCATCCCCCCCGACGATCAGGATCGTGGATAGATCGTTTTCGGGGTCGCAGGTACACTAACACGCGGGGTTCACTCACAGGTGCAGCTCTGACTAGACTAAAGGCGGCAGCGTGTGCCTCGTTCGCCAGCAAGTACTCTAGGAGAGGAGAATGAGCAAGAGAGAGAAAGAGGAGGCATACCGGTGCCTCGATTGGTCCATGCTTCCCGCGAAAACGACCCCGGCCAATC